GGCAGGTCTGCCGGGAGTGGTGGCCAGCTGAGCTGCGATACCAGCAGGCTCCCTTTGGCCTCTGATGGCTGCTCGCGTCCCTCGCTCTCGGCATCCTCAAGTGGTGGAACTTATAGCCGGCACACAAGATGACCCCCCCACTTTTAAGATGACTTTCTTGGTTTAGAAAGTCGTCTAGTATGCCGGTTTTTACGGTAGATGTTCTGGACTATAGAATGCTTAAGCTTAATCTTAACATGCTTTAGATTTGTACACATTGTTAACGTGGCATTTTTCTAATTTTTCCTTCTTCCTTAAAGGAAAACTCACTATGAAAGTAATCTAAAATGTCAAAGGGGATTTTGTGTGTATTTAGAATTCAGTGAGATAAGTAAAAGAATCTGCTTCTTCATTCAAGAGCAATCTTTTGCTTGTTTCTTTTTAATTTTCAAACATATTAACAAACAGATAACATAAATATAAAATACAAGACAAAAGGCAATTAAGAGCACCAAGAGAAACAAAACAAAAACGCTACCACAGAAAACAAAAACAATTTGTATATACAAAAGTAACTAACATACTTTTATCTACAACATACAAACTATACATATTCTAAAAAAAACCTCCAACTAAACCCATCTACAAGTTGGAGTTTCTAACTTCTTAGTTGTTAGTGTCTTTAAGTATCACTTAATTTCTACCTTTGAAATATGATTTATTTATTTATTTATTCATTTATTTACAATATTTCTATCCTGCCTTTCTCGAACCCAAAAGTGACTCAAGGAGGCTTACAACCAGGCAGCCATTCGATGCATTAACAATATATACTTAAAACATTTATAACAAAATTATAAAAACCATACAAAGAGCATTAAAATCATATAAAAACCAATGCCTTCACTGTTAATCTTGTTGTCCAAAAACATTGTCTTTCAGTGTTTCAATCCACACTAAATTATAAGTGCAGATGTACCCTGACAAATATTGGAAGATATAATAATAAGAACTTTATTTTTATACCCTGCCTCCATCTCCCCGAAGAGACTCAGGGAGGCTTACATGGGGAAGGTGTCTACTCTATCAGGCTCTACGTCTGAATGACTTTCTCTAACCCTACTTGGAATCATGTTCCTTCTATAGTCATGGTTCTGTCCATTCATGGTAAGCTTATGGTTTTATGGCCTATTTCTCTTCCCTGCTCCCAGGACAGGTTGTTCTCTAGGTTCACTGTGGGTGCACATCATCAAGGGGATAAAAGGATAAAGTGTTTCCATCTTTCTAGAAGCAATTGGAGCTCCATGTTTCTTCCTCTATGATTTTAGGCATTCTGCTGGGATCCAGACAAACTACGTTATTCTGAGATGCTCTGCACCAGTCATACTCTGCTTTTTGCAACCTGCATCAGCTTTCTCCTCACACGTGGAGGTAAGTTACATTGACAAAGAGAAGGATTTTTGGGTCAAGCCTCAAATATACGAAGCAAGTTTAATGCAGTTTCTTTGGCAGAAACATGACACAGAAAACAATGGAAACACGTTGGAAAAACTAAAAGAAGTGATAATTCCCTAAAAGAAGGAATAAGAGAGACATGGGTTTTCTCACTATTGTTCTTGTTTGGTGAGGAACCAGCTCAGTTTAACAAGAAGGCTAAAGATATTGCAAAATGACAGTTCCCACGATTGCATAGCATTGAGCTGTGACAGTGACAGTGCACTAATTCTATAAAACCGTTTTAATCAAAATCAGTTCCATTTGTTATGCACCCACTATTTATTTATTTAAGAAATATATATCCTTCCTTTCCTTAATCAAGGACTCAAAGTGGCTTACAGCCAATAAACCATACAATATAAAAGTTAAAACCATAAATATTAGACATACTGGAAGTGCTAATTAAAGTTTAATAAAATAAATTATACTAACCCAGTCATATAAACCAAATGCATAGGACTTCCAAGCCATTCAGTATTATTCAATTATGCTTGCTCAAAGGGTTCCTTGGAACAGGAAGGCTTTACAGTACTTTCTAAATCAGGGGTCCTCAAACTTTTTAAACAGAGGGCCAGGTCACAGTTCCTCAAACTGTTGGAGGGCCGGATTATAATTTGAAAAAAGCATGAATGAATTCCTATGGACACTGAACATATCTTATATGTAGTGCAAAAAACACTTAAAAACAATAAATAATTAAAATGAAGATCAATTTTAACAAATATAAACTTACTAGTATTTCAATGGGAAGTGTGGGTCGGCTTTTGGCTGATGAGATAGGATTGTTTTTGTTGTGTGCTTTCAAGTCATTTCAGACTTAGGTTGACCCTGAGCGAGGGCCGGGTAAATGACCTTGGAGGGCTGTATCCAGCCCTTGGGCCTTAGTTTGAGGACCCCTGTTCTAAATGTTAGGAGAGAGGATACAGATCTAATATAATCTGGCAGGGCATTACAAAGGAAGGGAGCACTCCCGAAAAGAGCCTCTCTCTACTACTCTTCAGATTTAGAGAGTCCCAGATGTTAGAGGATGCTAACAATTCCCCACTGGACCTAAGAGATCTCCCCGGGGTATACTGAGGAACCTGGTCTCTCAAGTCATCTGGACCAATGCCATGTAGGGCTTTAAAGCTCAACACCAGCATGTTAGTTTTTAACTACACCTAAAGTACTGATTGTATTTTAGTCTATAATGTGTTTTATCACGGTTTAATTGTCTTGTCATGTTTTAATTGGTATTATTGACTGTCTATTTCCGTTTTGTCCTAATGTGCCTGTATGTTTTATAACTTACTGTTAGCTGCTTTGAATCCCTAAAGAGGAAGAAAAGCAGGATAAAAATACATAAGTTGTGCAAAAGTGACCTCGGTAACCTCAATCACCTGTGCTTCCAGGTTTAAGAAAGAATCCAGAATCACCTCCAAACTACAAACCTGAGCTTTAAGTGGGTGTGTGACCCCATCCAGCTCCAGTTGTAACCCTATTCCCAAATATGTCTTATAAAAGTCCAGTAGTACTTCCATCTTATCTGGAATCATTTGCAATTTGTTCACCCTCATCCAGCCCATTACTGCCTCCAGGCACTGCTTCAGGCACAGCACGGCTACTGTGGCCATTTCTGATCAGTGGTTCTCAACCTGTGGGTCCCTGGGTCTTTTGGCCTACAACTCGCTGAAATCCCAGCCAGCTTACCAGCTGTCAAGATTTCTGGGAGTTGGGGACCAAAACATCTGGGGACCCACAGGTTGAGAACCACTGCTCTGGATGATCTCTCCCAGCAGTTTCATGTATGTTAAATAACAATGGGGAAAGGGAAACTGCAGAGAGTGGATGAACTGATTAGTGATTAGTGACTGTGGAGCGGATTCAAACCCCCTTTGAAATACTAGAAAATTTTGACCATTTCCACTATCTAGGCAGCCACCTCTTTACAAAAGTTGAATCTGATGCCAAAATACAACACTGTCTGAGTTCTATGAGTGCTGCTTTTTTTTTTAAATAAAGCAGAGAGTGTTCGAGGTTTGAGACATTTGTAGGGATATCAAGGTGCTTTATAAAGCTATTGTCCTTTCAACTCTATTGTATGCTGCAAAACATGGACCATCTACAAACGTCACTTCAGACTTCTGTAAAGATTCCATCATAGTTGCCTTCAAAATGTCCTCCAAGATCTATACATTAAATAAATAAAATCATTTAAACAAGTAGCTAAATAGGCTTGACTTTGGGACTGCCTAATGTTTTGTTACTTGTTTGCAACAAAGCCTTGAACATACAAGAGCAAAGAAGGGCTATTGCATTCTCATATCATGGTTAGAGTTCATCCACTATCCAAGTAAAGACAAAAATGTTTGATCTCATTATGCTCAACCGAAAAACTTTAAAGATATTCAAGTAGCAACATAACAGGAATAACTAGGTTCTTGTGGGTTTTTTCGGGCTATAGAGCCATGTTCTAGAGGCATTTCTCCTGACGTTTCGCCTGCATCTATGGCAAGCATCCTCAGAGGTTGAGAGGTCTGTTGGAAGTAGGAAAAATGGGTTTATATATCTGTGGAATGGCTGGGGTGGGGCAAGGAGCTCTTCCCTGCTGCAGTTAGGTGTGAATGTTTAGCTGATCACCTTCATTAGCATTTGAAGGCCTGCCTGAGTCTGGGAAAATCTGTTGCTGGGAGGTGTTAATCTGTGGCTGGTTGTTTCCTCTCTGTTGTTTAGCTGTTATAATTTTAGAGTTTTTTAATACTGGTAGCCAGATTTTGTTCCTTTTCATGGTCTCTTCCTTTCTGTTGAAATTGTCCACATGCTTGTGGATTTCAATGGCTTCTCTGTGTAGTCTGACATGGTGGTTGTTGGTGTGGTCCAGCATTTCTGTGTTCTCAAATAATATGCTGTGTCCAGGCTGGTTCATCAGGTGCTCTGCTATGGCTGACTTCTCTGGTTGAAGTAGTCTGCACTGCCTTTCATGTTCCTTGATGCGTGTCTGGGCGCTGCGTTTGGTGGTCCCTATGTAGACTTGTCCACAGCTGCATGGTATACGGTAGACTCCTGCAGAGGTGAGAGGATCCCTCTTGTCCTTTGCTGAACGTAGCATTTGTTGGATTTTCTTGGTGGGTTTGTAGATTGTTTGTATGTTGTGTTTCCTCATCAGCTTCCCTATGCGATCCGTGGTTCCCTTGATGTATGGCAGGAACACTTTTCCTCTGGGTGGATCTTCATCTTTACTCTCGTGGCTTGTTCTTGGTCTTGCAGCTCTTCTGATGTCTGAGGTGGAGTATCCATTGGCCTGGAGAGCCCAGTTGAGGTGGTTCAGTTCATCTTGGAGGAGGTGGGGTTCGCAGATTCTTTTTGCACGGTCTGCCAAGGCTTTAATGGTGCTTCTTTTTTGACTTGGGTGATGGTTGGAGTTTTTATGTAGATATCTATCTGTGTGTGTGGGTTTTTTGTAGAACGGTGTGACCCAATTGTTGATCTGGTTTGCGGATGACTAGGACATCTAGAAAAGGCAGTCTTCCTTCATTTTCTTTTTCCATGGTGAACTGGATGTTTGGGTGGATGCTGCTGAGATGGTCCAGGAACCTGTTGAGTTCTTCTTCTCCATGGCTCCAAATGGTGAAGGTGTCATCCACATATCTGAACCATATCGTGGGCTTTTTGGTTGCTGTTTCCAGAGCTTGTTCTTCAAAGTGTTCCATGTAGAAGTTAGCTATGACCGGGCTGAGAGGGCTCCCCATAGCTACTCCATCTTTCTGTTCGTAGAATTCATTGTCCCACTGAAAGTAACTGGTGGTGAGGCAATGGTGAAACAGAGCCGTGATGTCTTCTGGGAACCTCTGGTTGATGAGTGCCATGGTGTCTGCTACCGGGACCATGGTAAATAGAGATACCACATCGAAGCTGATCAGTTTGTCGTTTGTATTTAGCTTGAGATTGCTGATTTTTTCTATGAAGTGGGCTGAACAGGAATACTCACTAAAAGTCTCCAGAGCTGAAAAATAATAAGCTAAGATGAAGAAATTCCAACAGTAATTTCTAAGTAGGAGCAATGTGAAGCCTTTAAATATCTGCAGCAGAAGAGGGAAAGTAGCTTCAAAATAGATTTGAAATATTCATCCATGGTTTTTTTTTTTCAAATTTCCGTTGTATTTGCAAACAGATGACATTTTGGATATTAAAAGGACAGGTGCTTGTATTTAAGGCAAACTGGCTACAGAATGGTCACAAAGCCTATATTTTGCATTGTTTACTGAGATTGTGGTATAATATAGGTATCATTTTCCTATTGCAGGAGATGCTCTCAAGTGCTATAAATGTTCAACGATAAGTGAGTCAAAACGTTGTAAGCCAGCTGAGTTCTGCACGCTTCCCAGGAAAAATGGAACATGTGCTACCGCCAAACTCTATGAGAGTAAGATAACTTTGTTGAATTCCAGAGTGGGGTTTTGTTTTTGTTTATGTTTATGGGGGGTTTTTTTTGCATGTCTTATGTGTTTGCATTCATTGGCTCTACAGTCTCATATCTTCTTTATGAATTTCCTGTATGACAGGTTTAATGGTACAATCTGAAAATAGGTCAAATATCTTGAAAATCCATGATTTCATTGACACAGGTAGCCCCTCTGCCAATGTAGGTCATAACTGTTCCATGCAGTTCTTGCAAGTACAGTTCATTTGCCTCCAGAGAAAGGAAGCAGGAGGAGGGGAGTTCTGAGTTCCAAAGAGCTCCATTTCAGATTTTTAAAAACTGCTTTGCCTTCAGAGAAAGGAGGAGGGAGGAGGGACGATCTGAGCCCCATTATGGAAGCCAATTTTTGAAGCTGACGATTATGTGGTAGTGAATTACTTTGGGCAAACTTTGACCCTCCAAGTGTTCTGGTCTTCAATTCCTAGAAATCCTAGTCAGCTTATAAAATGCTAGGAATGGTGGGACGATCAAAATTTGCCTATGCCTGACATATAAAATATAAATTGGAAAATGCATTGAGATTTGCATTTTTATTTTTTTTACCTTCTGGTTTTACTGACAAATTGGGAAGTTTTAAATGATTTCAAGACAAATGACATCAAGACTAGACAAATCTTTATGTAACAACCAAAACTGTACAAACTAAAAAGATTTGAGTGACATTATGCATATGCGTGCCAGGAGCAGAGCATAGATCCAGTTTATCTGCTCAAACTGATTTACAGTTACCTCTATATCTCTAAGCAAGAAGCACTTTTCTTCTTGCTCCAATGTTACCCTAATATCTTGGACAGGAACCTGTACTCCCTGTGAGTCACCATTTTGTCACATTGTATCTTTGATGGCCTTGTTAGATCTTGGAAGGGGATTCCACTTCCAGAGTCAGTGCAAGTGGACTAAAACAGAGGAAATGCTACTGGTCCTGACTTTTAATTTGACAGATTAGTCACCAATTTCCTGCTATCACGACTGCCGCACTCACTAGACCCTGAATTCTCTCTCTTTTCCTCTCTCTGAGAGCAGAGAAGACATCAGCCTAGCATCCCATGGGAGCATCCCAGCATCCACACAACCAGATAGACTGGGATTGTTGTGGGACAGAAAAAATAATGAAACCCATGCAGAATCACATAAGGCAGATAAGATATTTCAGACAAGATGCAGGATGTATAGTCTTTCAGATAAGACCAAGCTGTATTGGTCACAAGTGGCACTTCAAATTTGTTTCTAGACATAGACAGGTAGCCAGTAAAGTTGTTGTAATGGGAAAGATGTATCCAAGGTACTGAACCTATTTTGGATACAATGTTTAGTGCCTTGCACAATTCTTTTATTAAATCTGGATTGCTATCCACAAATTTTGTAGACACCAGCCTCTGGAGGAAAACAGTGTTGTACAGGTTCTCAAAGAAACAGTTGGATTCTTGCATATGATACATGGCTCATTAGTCCAATGACAGATTAAATTAAAATCCTGTGTTTCATAATCTATTATGTAAAACTGGAATAGTAATGACATATTACAGGAGTAGATTATGAGGCCACATTGAAATACTAAGAAAACATTTAAATAAAATGACTCTTCTGAGTCTTTTATCTGAAAATCTATTAACATTAACCACCATTTTTTTTCTTTTTCCCTACTTTCATTTTAGATGAGAAGCTCATTCGGATAGTTTATGATTGTCGGCCAGAAGAAATAAAAACTTGTGATACTACACAGGTGCTATCAAACAACCTCCGTGCTAAAATCAGTTGTTGCAGGAACAAAGACTTTTGCAATGATTAAACACAGATGAATCTAAAAGCAATCTGAAGATCTTTGCAGTCTTCCTTCTGTAATTGCTATATTTTTAATCTTGGTCTGGGATCATGTCCCCATAGCCATCCTGCTTTCCAAGTGTGCAAAGCCATAGGGAGAAATGAGCCCCTTCTCCTTCTCCGAAGCTGCTGGGCTCACTTAATGGCAAAGGAACAGGAAGGAAAGAGCAGGGACTACTAGTAAAGGGAGACTTCACTCCTTTATTTAGGGGAATTTGGAGGGGCAAGAGGCAGGAAAGGATTGCCATCCCATCTCCCCTGGCTGTCTGAACCTGGAGAATGCAGGATCACTGTGGGAACGTGATCCTGCAATAGCTGTCCCCACTCCCTCAACACAGGCCCCTTCCACACATCTGTATAAAATCCACATTGAACTGGATTATATGGCAGTCTGGACTCAGATAACCCAGTTCAAAGCAGATATTGTGGATTATCTGCCTTGATATTCTGGGTTATATGGCTGTATAGAAGGGCCCTAAGTTATAGATGTTCTGCGGTTTTCTTCTTGAATAGGAACATTGGTACCAATGGTAGAAGGAATATGGAAAGAATAGGGATATGTTCTTATCACACAAAAAAGAATATATTTCAGCAAACATGGTTTTGAAAAGTACCATTTTGCACGGCAACTAGATAATTAAGGTTTGCATTTATGACAAAAACTCTTTCAATCTTCTAGTGACCACTTCAAAACAACTTTCAGACTACATCCTGGCCTGACTTCCTTTCTATCAACACCCCCATTTTTAAAGATTTCTACTTTGCTGACTAAACTCGGTATCTTCTGGGATGCCTCGCAGGGATGGGACTTGGAGGTACTAAAATGAAAGTAGGGAAAATCCTTCTCTTTGTCAATGTAACTTACCTCCACGTATGAGGAGAAAGCTGATGCAGGTTGCAAAGCGCAGGGTATGACTGGTGCAGAACATCTCAGAATAAAAAAGTTTGTCTGGGTCCCAGCAGAATGCCTAAAATCATAGAGGAAGAAACATGGAGCTCCAATTGCTTTTAGAAAGATGGAAACACTTTATCCTTGTATCCCCTTGATGATGTGCATCCACAGTGAACCTGTCCTGGGAGCAGGGAAGAGAAATAGGCCACAAAACCATAAGCGCACCATGAATAGACAGAACCATGACTATAGCAGGAAAATGATTCCAGGTAGGATTAGAGGAAATCATGCAGACATGCAGACATAGAATACAAACTTTTCCCATGTAGGCCACCGTGAGTCCCTTTGGGGTGATGGAGGTGTATAAAAATAAAGTTGTTGTTGTTGTTGTTGTTGTTGTTGTTGTTGTTGTTGTTATTATTATTATTATTGGTAAAGGTAAAGGTTTTCCCCTGACATTAGGTCCAGTTGTGTCCGACTCTGGAGGTTGGTGCTCTTCTCCATTTCTAAGCTAAAGAGCTGGCGTTGTCCGTAGACACCTCCAAGGTCATGTGGCCAACATGACTACATGGAGCGCCATTACTTTCCTGCTGGAGAGCTACCTATTGATCTACTTACATTTCTATCTTTTTGAACTGGTAGGTTGGCAGAAGCTGGGGCTGACAATGGAAGCTCATCCTGCTCCCCAGATTCAAACCTGCAATCTTTCGGTCAATAAGCTCAGCAGCTCAGCGGTTTAACCCACTGTGCCACCAGGGGCTCCATATTATTATTATACCTTTCAATATTTCTCAGGGTACATCTACACTTATAATTTAGCGTGGATTGAAACACTGAAAGACAACGTTTTTGGACAACGAAATTAACAGTGAGGGCATTGGTTTTTATTATTTTAATGCTCTTTGTATGGTTTATATAATTTTGTTTTAAATGTTTTTAAGTGTATATTGTTAAGGCATCAAATGGCTGCCTGGTTGTAAGCCTCCTTGAGTCACTTTCGTGTTCAAGAAAGGCGGAATAGAAATATTGTAAATAAATAAATAAATATTTCAAATGTATGGTGTTTAAATGATGCATGCAGTAACATGCATTAGAGACCTCAAACCAGGAAAAGCAATATCAGGGTAAACTTCAGAATAGTTCTCTTAATCAGTGCACATAGATGTAAACAACATTGCACAGCAAAACTGAACAAGAGTTGGGTGCTCCAAAGATTCACACATGAACATTGCAATCGGGGAGGGGAGCATGAGCATCTCCCAGGTTTCAGCCTGGTTCCTGATCTTGATGTGTGATTGGTTCCATGTTCAAATCACTTCCACTTTCCTCCCACATTAAGTGGTCTATGTCAATGTTCAATTCCTACCTATTCTAATTATACTTTGCAATTCCGAACAGTGATTGTTTGAATTTAGATGTTCTGGACTATAGAATGCTTAAGCATGCAGATAGAAACATTAACATGCTTTAGATTTGTACACATTGATAACGTGGCATTTTTTTCCTTCTTCCTTAAAGCAAAACTCATTATGAAAGTCATTTAAATTGTCAAAGGGGATTTTGTGTGTATTTAGAAGTGACTGGTAAGACCCATGTCTGGATAAGTAAAAGAAGCTGCTTCTTCATTCAAGAGCAATCTCTTTCTTGTTTTTTTTTTAATTCAAAGATATTAACAAACAAATAACATAAATATAAATTACAACTCAAAAGGAAATTAGGAGTACCAAGAAAAACAAAACAAAAAACACATAGAAAACAAAAATAACTTGTATATACAAAAGTAACAACATATAAAGTAACAACATATAACATATAACAACATATCTACAACATATAACCTACACATATTCTAAAAAAACTCCAACTAAGCCCATCTACATGTCTCCCACTCATTGCCTGGTGATTCTAACTTCTTATTAGTTAGTCTATATCAGAAAACCAATAATCAAAGATTGTCCCCATTTTTGCTGTATAAAAGCAATAAATATGTTCCCATCTTCCTTGAATTTAGTCAAGGATTTCTCCTTAATCACAGCATTGTCAATTTCTCCGTCTCAGCCAGTTAACATATTTTCATCAGCCAATCTTCTTGTGCTGGAATATCTAGTTTTTACCATATCTAGGCATAGATGACTCTGGCTTCAGTAATCATGTATAATAGTAATATTCCATATTCTTTTCTAATTGGTCATCTAGCATCCCCAAAAATACAGTTCTAATTTTAACCTTTGCAATATCTTCTAGCATCATTTGTATCTGAGTCTAGTATTTCTTGGTCACCACATATTGGAAAATGTCCCAAAGTTCTCAGTTCTTGTGGGTTTTTTTCGGGCTATATGGCCATGTTCTAGAGGCATTTCTCCTGACGTTTCGCCTGCATCTATGGCAAGCATCCTCAGAGGTGAGGTCAGACCATGGTTGTCATGGAGGCCATGAAGACCTGAGCCACTCCTGACAAAGTAGTTTCAGCATGGATGTTGAAGTCTCCCAGCACTACTAGCCATTGAGACTCCAACGCCAACCCCAAAACCACACCGGTCAAGAAGGGAGACTGTTGAGCAGCGGGGTGGGTGATACTCCAACAGAATCCCTGTTCTCTCCCAGTGACCTGACTTTAGGTAAATGCACTAGAACGATGTTGACTGTAGGATGGGGAACTCCTAGGCCTTGCCTGCTACTGCACAGAAAATCCTGGTGGGCAGAGCTGAGAGAGATCAACCCTTCCAATCTCATCCTGCCAAGTCTCTGTAATACAAACCAGGTCAGCATGCTTATACAGGATCAAGTTCTGGGTGGAAGTTTTCCATTTACTGACTGGTATTCAGCAGCAGCATTTTCAACCTAGGTGGGCTGTCACCCTGGTTATCATAGAGTTTTCTGAAGCTGTGAGTATGTCACCCACTGAAATCACCCAGTAAGATTCCCAGGTCCAGTGGAGAATAGATCCCTGGTTTCATAGTTATAGTCCAATGCTTAAGTCACTGCACTATATTGGCTCTCTAATATTGTGATATTCTTGCAAATCTATGTGCAATTGTTTAATCAGCCTTTCATGCAGAAGAGGAGGAATTTATTTAAGAATATTTTTAGATCCATTTGAAGCTTTCCATTTGGTCTTCATCTCATCACCTCAGAAGTCATTTATAGATATTTACTTTGGAGATGTGAATCTTTAAAGGAATTATTCTGAATGAAAATTGTCTGGTAAAGATAAGGATTCTGGTTCCTGCAAGCAGAAAATTTCATTATCAGCCCATATAGTGTCTGGCACATGAATTTTTTTCAAAAAGAATGTCTATCTCTAAAGACATTGAACAAGAAAAAAAGCAGCCACCCATATGCTAGTATGGTTTTGAAAAGCCATTGCATTATATACTAGTGTTGTGCATTAAGTCCTCAAAGTCAGTTTATGAGCCCAGTTCGCATCTCTGCAGGGATATCAGTCTGTAATGCAATATTTGTTAATATTTGTAAAACATGTCCCAGCTTTTCTGTCCCCATCTTCTTTTTTCCCTTTTTCCTTCATTTATTTCAATTGCTGTAAACTGAATTTAAAATACTTTGTATTCAGTTAACTCAGGTGGGGAAGAGGGGTGAAACCTTGACCTTTTCAGAAGATTCGGGCAAAACAAACTGCTGCAGCCTTTCTTAGCTTGCACGGGCTTTCTAGTTAAGGACTTTTGCCACTTTGAGTCACACTTTAGATTGCTTGGCCACACATTCTGATTGTGAACTTAAATGGATTTTCTTTAACTGGATGAACATTGCATTATTTTAATAATAATAATAATAATAATAATAATAATAATAATAATAATAATGAATTTATTACTGCTTCTCCCTGCAGCTTGAGGTGGAAGTACAAACATTTTGAAATAACCCACCAAGGCCTATAAAGTAGCCAGTTGTGGATTATATGTTTCCTTGCATCAGTGGAGAGCAACTATGGTGGCTCCAGGATCCTGTGACTTGCCTCTGGGAATCTCTGCAGCCATATTCAGTGACAAAAATAGAGACAGAAAATATCTAGCTCCATTTTTGAAACCTTCCACTGAAATTGGATGTTATGCAATGATAAAATAGTGCAATGCTTT